GGTCTTGAACTCACAGAGATCTCCCTGCTTCTTTCTGCCTCCTGAATGCTGGAATTAAAGGCATGCTCCACCACGCCTGATGCTTTTATTTATTATTTATTTTTTTATGTGTATGAGTGTATTTCATGCATGTATGCAAGTGTACTTGTGTCATGCGGTGCCTGTGGAGGTCAGAAGAGAGCATTGGATCCCCTGGAACTAGAGTTAAGGACTGTTGTCAGCTGCCATGTGGGTGCTAGAAATCAAACTGCAAAAGCAGCCAGTGCTCTTAACCGCTGAACCCTCTCTCCGGACTGCTGGTTTTCTTCCTTATTTGAGAATTCTCTCTTTCAATCTGTAGCCCAATTTTTTAAAATTATGTCATTTGTTTTCTTTATTCCTTGTTTCATTGATATTCTGGGTATTAACCTTCCATCAAATGTGTAGCTGGTGAAGATTCTGTCCCACTCCTCAAGTTTCCTCTTTACTAGACTGTTTTCTTTGCTGTACAGAAAGATTTTTAGTTTTATGAGGTTCTACTTGTCATTTGTTGACCTTAATTCCTGAGTGAATGGAGTCCTAGTCAGAAAGTCCTTTCCTGCGCCTGTATCTTGTAGGGTGCTACCTATGTTTTATTCTAGCAGTTTCAGAGTTTCAAGTTTTACTCTGAGGTCTTTGATCCATTGGAGTTGATTTTTGTGCAGGGTGATAGGTATAGTTCTAACTTCATTCATCTACATGTGGAGATCCAGTTTTCCCAGTACCATTTGTTGAAGATGCTCTCTTTCCTCCAGTGTATGCTTTTGGCATCTTTGTGACTATCAAATGGCTATAATTACGTGTGCTTACGTTTGGGTCTTCTGTCTTCTATTAATTTACATGTCTGTTTTTCTGCCAGTGTTGCGATGTTTTTATTACTTTCCTACCGCAATGTAACTTAAAAGCTGTTATAGTAACCCCTCCAGCGCTGTTTGTTTTGCTCAGGACTGCTATTTCCATTTCTTTGTTGAGCGTCTCATTTGCGTCTTCCATTATCTTCTATTCATTCAGGATGTTGTTCTGTGTTCTCTTGGAGGTCCTCAATCTTAATGGAAAGCCATTCTTTGGAACTCTTCATTAATCATTTTGTTGATATTGATATATTTGTGGGGCATTTAAGCAAGAGTAATGGCGTTTTGAAGGTGTCTGTTGCTTATTTTCCATATTTCTTGTGTTTCTATTTTGAGAATTGCATATCTGTTAAGACTGATATCTCTTTCACTTTTACATGTACGTTTTCTTATTTCATGACTTTCTTTTGATTTTCCCTTTCATTATGGTATAGTATTGAGTTTAATTATTTTTTGTATGTGTTGGGGGGGTCTCATGTAGCCCAGGTTGGCCTTGAAGTTGGTATATAGATGAAGCTGGCCTTGAATTCCTCATTCTCCTGACTCCAAATCCAGAGTGCTAGAATTACAGGTGTGTGATTCCACACCAAGTTATTATTGAGCTTAGTTATAATTGGATCAAGTATTGTAGGTTTCCTGTGGCTTTTTAGGCATATTTGGGGAGCAGTTCTGATTGTGTGCTTAGTTTTGGAACCTGACTTAATTTACTTCTTCTGTAGGGCTCATGTGAGTGGGGTCTGTATGTTTAATTAGTTATATTGTAGACAGAAAAGTATATGACCTGAATTGAATACTCTGTGGTTACTTCTTTAGTCTTGTTAATAGTGTGTAATTTGAAAGGCAATGGTAATGACCTGTGCTAATGTCATTTTGTGTATGGCATGACTGCACCAATTGTGTTATCTTTTATCTATTACTGCTATAGAGGTTAATATTCATTAATCTCAAGCTCCCCCGGCTCAAGTCTGTGCCTTCTTGGGGCAGAAATGTCAGCTGTAGGCTTTTGTCTCTCATTTCCTTATGTTCAATTATCCACCTACATTGGGACCAAGTTGTGAATGGTATAAGGTTCAAATTCACCTGAAACGTGGGTGTATCTCAGTATCATTGTACCCACCCTTCAACATGCTGAGCTTGGTCCCTGGTAAAAAGCAAAGTTCTACAAATAGTAAACAACAAAACAAACAACGCCCCCCCCCACAACACCTGTTAAAATGACATCTCCAACACCAATGACCATAGAAAAGAAACTGGAAAGGATTAAAATAGTTTAAAAATATTTACATTAATGAAAACAGAATACATATAAAAAAGAATGAAAATGAGAAAGCACAGGAGAAAAGATTCAAGTTAGTTAATTAGTAGATATTACTGGATAAAGATAGGCTAAAGGAGGGAAACAAAATAAAGTAAATCTAAGACAATCAAATGCAGAAAAGAATGTCAAAAGAAGTCAGAAGTTTGGCCTTTCCAAGGAAATGGGGGGGGCAGTATCTTCTCATTTCCTTCTCAGATGTTTGTTTTTTTTTTTTTATTTTGAAGTTCATCAGGTATGGAAGTGATGTGGGGCACAGTGTATCTTGTCTCTTCTCAGAGCTGAACTATTAGCTATAACCATGTTCTATGGACCTTCTTTCCTTCAAGGGAAGCTAGAAAGTTACATGCTGCAGCTTTTGGTCTCTGTAATAGAGGAAGAAGGCACAGGAGGAGTGATTGTGTCTGCCGCATACTTTTTATAAGATTTTTGTAAGGACTCAATGTGGTAATCTAAAATGTTTTATTTTGTATAATTTAAATAAGTACACTATTCCTCTTATCTTATATTGGATCATCTTAATACTGGAGTGTACCTTTGATTTAATGCACTGTTTGCATATTTCTCATAAAATCTGTAAGATTAGTTTATGTTAAATTATCTGACTTTATTGTCTATATAGGCATAAATAATGCATTATTTCCAGCGTGCTCTTGTTGTCATCCAAGAACTAGAGTAGACTATTTCTATATCTGTCTAATTATTGTGTTTCATACATCTTAACTCACATTGCCTTGTGTTTCTGTTTATATATGGGATATTCTTTTGGGCATCTAATAAAAGCTTGTCTAAATAATATTATACTCTTCATGCAATGGCCTCTATTTTCTTATAGCTGTTTCTGAGAATTGCTTAAAGAACCAACTCTTTTCTATTGGTGCCATTAACATGGTCAATGTTTTTTCCATTCTTAAACTATTTGTGTTAGCAGTGTTAGAGATTATCTTTTAAGTTATTTCCTCTAAAATCTTTTAGTTAGCTTTGCAAAACCTGAAAATTTCTAGAGTTGACAGATTGCTGTTGATAGCATCATTTTCTCTTATTAGAACCAGCTGAATTATGTTGGCTTCCAGGTACTGTGGCACATAGAATGTTTCCTATTTATTGAGAAGCATTCTATATGAATGTTTCTTTTTGAGGAAGACATTTCTGGAGAGTATGTTTACTTTGTGTACAAAATTGTGGTGTTTCTAAGCCACATTACAGTGATGCATTTATAAGCCAAGAGTAGACTGAACTGCCAAGCACCTGTTTCTTCAGTTGTCTCTCAGAACTGCCCTCTTGAGCCAGGGCTTCCCTTATTCTTTTATTGAAATGGTATTTCCAGCATGAAATGGGGAAGTAAAAGTCATGACCCAGCCTATCTCATCAGAGAGTCTTGCCCTTGACACCTAGGCCTAGAATATCACACACTCAATTTCTTTCATGTTTGCAATGAGAAAGGCACACTGCTTTCAGTGCTTTGATATGTAAAGCATGCATATCCACATTCATATACTATCTTATACTATCTTGGGTGGAGGTCAAGGTGGGGTCCTGAGGGAGTAGGGTCATATGCCCAGGTCACAAGAGGCTTGTCACTCAGTGAGCTTGTTTATATTATTAATAGTAACTTTTTGGTTCCAAGGTTAGGTAAAAGATTGGGCCAGATTGTGTCCATTTTGTAAAAGTCATCCATATACAAAAATCACATTGAAGTGTAAAAACAACCTGCCATTGATGATAAAATAACAGGAAAAGGTAGTTCTGCTCAGCCACTCTGTATCTCATCTTACTTCAGATACTCACAAAATCTTTCTGGATTGAAAAAATGATTCTTTGTCAGATTGAAACTATTTCCCCAATGTATTAGTTTGCTTTCTGTTTCTGTGATAAGCGCCATGACCAAAAGCAATTTAAGGGATGCAAAGGTTTATTTCATCTCTACCTCCCAGGTAACCGTCCATAGCTTGGAGAAGTCAGGTCAGGAACTCAAATGGAAGCAGAAGCAGGAACCATGGAGGAAAATTGCTTATGGGAGTGTTCTCCCTGGCTTGCTCAGCTACGTTTCTTATACAGCTCAGGCCCTTATACCCAGGGATGATACACCCACAGTGGGCTGGGTACTCCTACATCAATTAGCAATTTAAAAAAATGCCCCACAGACAGACCCACAAGCCAATCTGAAGAAATTTCTCAATTGAGATTCCCTCTTCCCAGGTATGTCTGTGTTTGTGTCAAGTTGAAAGTTGACAAAAGCTAACAGAACACTCAGTAATATGAGAAAAATGGCAGGAGAAACTCTGATCAGGTAACACATGGAATGGAAGCCCTGACTTAGGCTGAGTGATGTGGCAGGAGTGTGAATTTGAAACTAGGCCAAATATCTAGAATATATACATGCAGTTTTAAGGCATAAGGTAGAGGAAATGATCTTCATAGTCCCTAGTATTCAAATTTGTATTATTATTGTATCTAGAGAATAGCAAAAGGTGTTAAGAAAAGGCCCCAAGAAGTAAATAAGTTTTGGAGGTAATCTAGGAAGAAGCATGTATGACTGAAACCTTTAGTGAGGAGAGAGAGAGAGAGAGAGAGAGAGAGAGAGAGAGAAAGATTCAGAGAAATTGTGCAAGAATTTGGAAATGAGAGAAATTTATAGGATTCATCATGAAGTTAGAATTAAAGGTTGCTCTGAATTAGAACTTTCCCATCTTTTTAGCTTGTTAAAAATGCTAACAGCATACAAATTCTGTCATGTTGGGCAAAATAAGACTGTGAATATGTTTTTCTTTTTCAGTTTCTATTGTTTTTATTGTTTGCCTTATTTGTTTTTGTAGACATTGTGCGGAGTGATGTTGCCTTGGATAAACAGAAAGGCTGTAAGATTGCCCAGCACCCTGATATCATGCTGGAGCTCCAGAGAGAGAAGGCAGCTCAGATGCATCTGGTTCTTCTAAAGGAGCAGTTCTCCAATACTTACAGTAATCTCATACTAACAGGTAAGGCTACTGGGGTCTGCTAGGCTGTTAGAGTATTATTATATATTTATGTTCTTTATCAGTTGATGCTTAGGAGACACTGGTATGGCATCAGATGAGTGCTCACCTGCATGTCTCTACCCACTTTATCACCTTTTTAATTGTAATGATTCTTCTCATTCTATAACAAATAATTTCTTGTAGTTTGCAGATGTTTTTGGTTTAATGTCATGGGTGATTCTGCATGTATTTTCTCAAAAGAACCAATGAAAACCCAATGTAGTCTGCAAAAATACAACTTTCTAGATGTGTGCCAGTATATTTGAGAGGATTACTAAATTTGGAATCTTTTAAGAAGCAGCTATTCTCTCCTTTGTATGTCCTTTCTATGAACTCAGTAAATATAAAGATGAAATGTAAAAAAGATAATGCTCTTCAGACAGAGCCGAGAATATTCTATTCCTGATGTTGTTTGAAAATATCTAGGGAATGTGATTTTTTTTTTAGAGTAAGAGGCTATGAGGCTGACCTGTACTCTCTTCCATCCTTGATTGTAGAAAGAATCTGATTGTGTGTCAGAGCTGCAAGGAAAAACAAATTTTTTCAGGGCTGCCTATAAACTTTTCTAGCGAAGAACATGCCAGTTGCTTGTCTTTCTTAGGTTTTGGAAATGAGTCTAACAATAGACTCTAACGTGAGAATCATTAAGATTTAATATGAACTAAGAAGAGCAGTCCAAGTTGCTTTCATTTTCTTGAGTGCATACAAGGCAGATTTGCATATTGATGTGCATGAATTTTTAACAAGTCAAAAGGGTATTTTCTTTTGTTTATGAATGGTTAAAAAATAAAAAGATGGAGTATCTGACAGTCTATGAACATTTCATACTTATTTTTGTGAACTCTAAGTTAGGAAAATTTTAACTTTTTTTACAGGCTTCCTGGCATTTCACCAGGAATTGCTGAGTGGCAACCAAATTGTTTTGCTTTTGAAAAAGCACAAGACTCTTCCAACTTTTCATCTTGTACCTGGTGGAAAACCCAACAGCATGAGATGAAAGCCAGATTTAAATGTGGCTTTGGTGAGCAGAGAAGAGGATTATGGATTTCATAAGTATAGGCCCTGTTTTTTGCTCTTTGATAGGTCATTAAGGAGGGAAAACTTAAAAATGATTCGTGGCCTGTGCATGTATTTCCCTAAATTGGTTAGTAAAACTGAGTTTAAGTTTAGATTTTTGAGAAGAACATAGATTTTTCTCTAGGTTTCTTCAGCCTACCTCAAAATGTAGACACACACACACACACACACACACACACACACACACACACACACTAATTTTTCCAATTAGTGATTTGAAATCAAATAATTTTTATTTCACCCTTATTCTAATATTTTCAGAATTGTATTAGAGGGGTCATACCCTGTGTTCTTTAATATGGCATACAAAGGGCTTAGGGTAATTCTAGTCCTAAACTGTGGATCCAGAGTACAACTTGAAGGCATATTATCTTTGAAAACACAAGTGTTCTATTGAGTTCAATGGAATCTTTCCTAATTCTCAGTAACATAATCCCTTTGGATGTTTATTCACAGTTCAAACTGTTGGAATCAACATTGTCAACTTTTACCCTGACAACTTGCTTACTTTCCACTAAACAAACTTACCCTAGAGAAGAGCCTCTTTCCTGCTTTCACTTCTCCCGAGCTACTTCAAAGAGTCCTTAGGCACTTTCCACATTTTTCACCCATATGCCTTTGTACAGAGGTGGTACCTTGTAGCAGACAGCATTTGGTGTGCCCTGGTTTGTTTACATGAAAGTTCAAAAGGTTTTGGTTCCAGGTGTTGGGAAAAGATGGAGTCATTTCAGTTTAGCACCAATGGTTAAAACTATTTTAATGTCCTTTAACTAAGTCTTTGATTTTACACAGTGTGGTTTTCTAATTGTTATGAAGTTTAATCCTTGATTTCTTGTATAAATCTTGAGAACATGGTCTCCAGACAGCTAAACATAATATTTAAACATAACTAAACTAAGTTTTGTAAATATTTCCCTTTTCAGTGATGAATGTATATTGGTAAGGAGGGTGAAGTTGAAGGGGCAGAGACCTCTCAAATGAAGTGACTTTCTTTACCAATGCATTCAGAACACCTACTCCAGTATTTCTACTTGATGATAGTCTACTTATTTTTTATAGCTCTGGCATAAGATATGAAATATTTGCAATGAAAATACTTAATGTGGGAATATAATGAGAAAACTGGACTACTAAAATATCAGAAAAAATGGACTTTAAAAAAGTTTTCCCACCCTCTCCAATTACTTACAGACTTTCATGTGTGTGGATAGGAATGCATAGTAATTGCCTCCTCATAAGTTAGTGGTATATATTCTTAAATATGGAATGACCCCAAGAACCCAGTAAGCTTAATAAAAATAATGTTTGAAACGTGAAATTGTCAAAAGTATATGTTCCATGTCACACTCAGGTCCTTATCTTTAGATTTTCCACCTGTAGCTGATAGGCATGTTACCCTTGGTGGAGGTGAGAAGCAGCACTGCAGAGCATGTATTTCAGCTAGTGATGCCTTTGAAACAGCTACCATTCAGATGAGAGAGGATGATATGCTATTTTTTAAGGTCTTCTAAATCGCTTACTAATAGGAAACAACTTTGCAGCTCTACTGATACCTCAGTTAATGGAAACTGATATAGAGAAATAAACTTGAATGCATTGCATTTCCCCATTACATCATATTTTTAATATTTTTCAATGGGTATTTATTTATTTATTTATTTATTGTGTAGGTCAGAGGACAACCTGTGGGAGTTGGTTTCTTCTTCCACTAAGTGGTCCCAGGGAATGAACTGAGGTCATTAGACATGGTAGCAAGCACCTTTGCCCACTAAACCATCTTGCCAACCCTTTTCCAATGCTTTTGAGCTTGTCTTAATGCTCTTACGTGAATGATTTGCATAGCATTGTAAATAATGTTAGCTTTACTCAGCCTTGAGGAGCTTTGAAGCAAGCACACAAGGTTACTGGAAGGTGATAGAGTAGTTCCAGTAGAGCATCAGCTATGGAACTACTTTAAATGGTGACAAGTTCTGTTTTGCACTTTTCACACCAACTCACTGATACGGATATGTATGATTCTACAGAAGTTTCTCCAGCATGAGTGTTGTTACTGTGCATATCAGGGAAGGAATATTGTAGTGCTGTATAAACTTGTTGAAAATGTTCTACGATTTCTAGAATATGAGTTAATCTGAAGATGATTTTTCTTCTTAAAGATTATTTTTATTTTATGTGTGAGTGTTTTGCTGCATGTTATGTATATGCACCATATGTGTGCCTAGTGCCCGTGCAGGCCAGAAGGGAGCGTCAGAATCCCTGGAACTGGAGTTACAGATGGTTGTTAGCTGCCACGTGGCTGATGGAACTGAACATGGGTCCTCTGCAAGAGCAGCAAGTGCTCTTACCTGCTCAGCCGTCTCTCCAGCCCCTGAAGACCATTTTTAAGGGATAATATTGACATGTCCCAACAAACTTTGCAAGTTTCAGTTTCCCACACTCTCTTCCTCCTTTAAAGGTATAGGTTGAACATTTGTGATGAATCTTTGTACTATAATCAAATGAGAAACATGAAAGTTAAATCAACCTTCAGGGGAATTAATTTTTCCAGAATTTAATTTAGAACATTGATTCTTGGAGGGCAAGTAGTATATTTGTGTAGCATTGTGGATAATATGTAGAAAATAGTGAGTGATGCTGAAATGAGGTCAAATAAAAAATGTTGTGCTGTGAAATCCATTAATTCCCTGCTATTGACAGCTTGAAACCATGTAGCCACTGTAAATGAGTGGCATTACTATGGACACTGTTCAGTATTTCTTTATGAGGACTTTTTGTCATGAATTGGCTGCCATTTGGCTTTGTAACTCATCCTTTAGTTCTTAAGCTCTGAATTAGAGTGAGATTTGTGTGATTGGGTTCCTTGTGTTATGTGACGAATGCAGCCAAACATTGTAATTCCTTGTTATGGTCTACACTGTGGACGTCAACTGAGTGAAAGAGTTCAAATTAGTGCAACAAGGCTATTTCAGGGCAAACACACCAAAATGCCCGCAGGACTGTTTTTAGGTAAATATAAAGCCACTGCATTCAATTAAGCACAAAAATAATTTTTGATTTGAATGTTTGTTGTAGCCCCTCTTTATCATCTCAATTTAAAGAGATCATTTTTTCACTGTTACTGTTATTTAATAATTATCTGCATCATTAACTTGGCAGTTTGTGTAAGCTTAAAATAATTTCTGATAATATTTATTGCTTGCAATCATATTTTAAAATTAATTTTGCTAATGGCTTGAAAAAAAAGTCTTTTGTATTTTCTAAATGACCCCAGTAGCTTCTCCGTAGGGTGGTATTGTTTTTGAGATCCTAGGAGATACGTCTGCCTTCCAATTTTACTCATTCTTATTTCTTAAATTTTTCTACTTGATGTGAATCTACTATAACTTACATGCACAAACTCTATCATTAAATACTCCATTTTTTTCTACTCTCTTCCATAAGCTTGAAACAGTCTCATCTCTCCATTAGCTAAGTCTTCTTGTCTATCAGTGTGAATGTAGGTGTTGTGGTTAGGTGTACAGCACAACAGAAGCAGGTTCTGATATCAGTTCCTCTCCCTTCCATGATATTCACTACCAATTTTATCAAAGATATGTTTAAGTATTACCAAGGAAGTTATTAGTTAGCAGAATTGTGTGATATTTGTTTGCATGCTTGTTAATGAAGAGGGATATGAACTGTGTCACTTTAGATTATATATCTGCAGCGCTGAAGATGGTCTCACTCCAATGTATGTATATTTGAATATATGAACTTTTCAATATAAAACATTTGCAGGTTAGTCCCACTGTACTGAAGTTCTCCAGAGAGACGGAAACCAATAGGAGATACATATATGTATAAATGTTTATGTATATACATATATGTCTACATTTTTTGTTTAT